CCAGGGATCAGACTCAGGTCCTTGTGCTTGTGAGGCAGGTGGCGGAACCACTGAGCTAAATCCCCGGCCCTCCCCGGTACAATAATACTAATACTAACAATAAACAGAGAAACCAGTATCTTTCTCACATATGTCAGAATAAATATGGGATTAATACCTGACCCATGTACTATTAATATCACCGAGAGTGGTCTGCTTTGGGGGACATCATTCATATTTCTTACAAAAAATCAGAGATTCCCTGGAACCAAAAAAAAAAAAAAAAAAATCACAGAGAATTTACAGCTAGCTAGGAGCTGGTAGCAAGGACAATTTTATTCCAAAAGAGCTAATGAAAGGTGTTTTTCCTGATTTTGTTTCTGAGTTACTCCAGCCATTGAAATTGTATAATCTTTATTGGGTTGCCTGAAACATTCATTCATGTTTGTTCTTTGTTTTTGTTGCATGGCGTTGAAGTTGATTTCAGGCTTTTGGTTTTTACTTTTATTGCTTTTCTTCCTTTGTTCACCTCACACATGAAGGTGGTGATAATATGCTCATAAGCCGGGCGTGGTGGCGCACCCCTGTAATCCCAGCACTTGGGAGGCTGAGGCAGGATGATTGCTGTGAGTTCTAGGTCAGCCTCAACTACATTGTGAGACCCTGTCTCCAAAAACATATAATAATAATTTGCTCATACTTATGCTAATGATTAAAAGGCTGGAAGTGTTAACTACAGCGATAGCTTTCATACAGTCTTGACCGTGGTGCACAATAAGAAATACATTTTCACTGTAATTCAGTAAACATTTTACTGTACTTCAGTAAACACAATACTTACATCCATTTCATTTATTTAATTTTTCTACGATGTTAGACATGGCCTGTTAAGCTGACTCCATGACCTGTGAAGAAATTGTAAAAAAGCCTTCTCTAGAGGGGCTTGCCGGTTAAATGACGCTTCTGTGAACCTCCTTTCTAAAAGAGGCGTTATTTCCAAATGAAGATGTCATGTTCCTCATTTCAGGGCACCAGCAAGGTTTGCTACACTCGAGAGGGGCTTGGGAGGTGCCTTTCCTTTGTCTTTGTCTCCTGGAGAAAGGAACACATTGAAGGGCCAGGGAATTAGCTCATTGGTGCCACCGCCTGCCTCACAAGTGCGAGGACCCCAGTTTGATCCCCAGTTCCAAAAAGAAAGAAACACACTTAACTCACGGAAGGGTGAGTGCTGAGCACTTTGGTGTTTTCAGAGTAAGAGGGAGACACAGGCCTCATCCCGAGCACCCTCCATTTCAGCCAGCCGTGGATCTGTCTGTCCTGCCTGCGTACAGACTGTATTTTCTTGTCATTGGTCTCCAAGCAGTGCGCACAGTTATTTATACAGCGCTTACACTGCGTTATTCATAGTGACTACAGACGATTGGATGAACATGGGGAGGTGCCCGTGGGTCTGTGCTCAGTACCCCATTTTGTCAAGGGAGCTGAACACCCCCCGACATTGTATCCACAGGGTCGGAGTTCCTAGGCCCGGCCTAGGTATGTGATAGTAGGGTGATATTTAAACATGTGTCTAGGGCTGGGGATTTAGCTCAGTGGTTCCAGCACCTGCCTTGCAAGTACAAGGTTCTGAGTTCGATCCCCAGTACCAATAACAAAGAAACAAACAAAAAACCATAAACTTTTGGGCCAGGGATCTAGCTCAGTGGTTCTGCTGCCTGCCTTGCAAGCACAAGGACCCAAGTTCCCACCCTATTACCCCCCCAACAAAATAAATGTGTCTAAACTGGATTGTAGAACTTACATATATTTTTTTAATTTTCTTGCAGCTTTAATGTCAGATTCTGCTTAAAGGCAGATGGCAAAGGAGCACTTCCGAGGAAGCTTAGTAAGTGTCCTATGGAAAAAAAATACTATTTTAACGCTGCTGTGTATGTAACACTTAAAAAAATGTCTTAGAGTTGAGCAAGGCAATGCACACCTGTAACCTCAGCACTTGAAAGCCTGGGGCAGGAGGATCTCGAGTTCAGAGCCAGCCTGGACTACATGGTGAAACCCTGGTTCAAAACAAAAAGGAAACAACAACAAAAAAAACAGATTTAGGATATTTGGTTACATTGCTATTGTTTAATGTTAGGTTAAATGTTAGGTTAAATGTTAAAAAATGTTTGAATGTTTATTTTTAAAGACATTGAAGATGGCACAGTAATTGCTTTCTTGGACAACTCTTGAGCCAATTCAGAAATGATACATTCATGAATAAGCATACGCTGCCTTTGGGTGGTCTCCGGTCAGGGACAGGTAGGACAGGAGATGTGGGCAGGGAGTCACTGTTTTTCTGTAGCTGGGGAGACCCCAAGGGACAAAGGAGTGAGAAGACACGGAAGTGGTTTTGTTCCCTAAATTTGATTCCCTCCCCTTCCTACTGTAAGTGCTGTCTGAGCAGGCACGGTGGCACATAATTTGTATTCTTGTCTCTTTAAGAACCGAATCTTAGAAGGCCTTCACCCTGACAGCTGTGCTTTAAGCTCTCTGGTTTTTTGGCAGTGCTGAGCTTTGAATACAAGGCCGCCTGCGTGCTAAGCAAGCACTTCACGGAGCTACATGCCCAGAGCTTTTTATTTTTTACTTTGAGCCAGGGCCTTGCTGAGTTGCCCATGCTGGCCATGAATTTACGATCCTCCTGCCTCAGTCTCCGGAGTAGCTAGGATTCCAGGTGTGTGCGGTGGAACCCAGCCTGCTCCTCAGACTCTTGACCACACATTTATTTGTGAATGACCCTCTGCCCCTCATGTTCCGCATGTCACTTGGTTCACAAGGGACTTATTTATCTGGTGAGGTACTGTGGTAGCAGGAGCTGCAAGTGACTCCCACCGTTCATCCATCCTTGTGTTTAGGATGGTGGAGCAGGTGCGTATTCGTGACTACTTCAGCAGCAGCAGGATGGCCAAGTCTTGCAGCGTGGATTGAGGGTAGAAGTTGCTGCTGTGGCTGGCATGGTTGTTGCTGGGACTGGACCCAGGGCCTGGCACCGGCTAAGCAGGACTGCTGTGTCTGCCCTTGGCATGTGTTCCACCCTTTGTACTTCCTCCTCCCCTGGGCTTATATGAAATTTGTCAGCGTACACAATTTTGCATCTGATACTTCTTTACAACCATCCTTATTTAGGGTTAGGTGTATTACTTTGGGAAGAGTCAGGTCAGTTAGTATTAAATATTTATGCAGAATTCATATGGTGTCATCTCACTACAACATACAGGCCTGACTTAGCAGCAGATCACTTGTCAGAAATCAGTGTCTGTTTGCGTGCAGACTCTGTAGACACCTAGCACAGGGATCTGTCCGTAGGAATCTGTTGGTTATAAACCCTTTGATCTGTGTAGACTTCCAGGTGGAGCTTCTTTTGGATAAACTCAAGCACAAAGGAGCAATTCGCAGAGCACTGTTTCTCCATAACAGGTCCCCGGGTCACTCCAAGAACATGACCATCTCAAGGGGGGGCCAGAAGCAGTGCGAGGAGCTGGGGGCCTATCTGCGGGTAAGAGACTCCTGCCTGCTCCTCTGCGTTTGCGGGCTAGGTAGCGCTTTTCCCTTTCCGTTGAAATTGTTTCCACTTCCTACGAATTGGTATTTAACTAAAGTGAAAAGCACAGAACAAAGACACACTGGAGAAAACCTGGCGTTTAAAGTGTGAAAGCACTGCCTGTGACAGTGGGTAGATGTCACAGAAGCCGAATTAAAGGCACTTGTATTCCTTTAAGTGGTGTGTTAATGAATGGTTGATTAAAAAATGGAAAAAAGGCCAGGGATTTAGCTCATGGGTACTGTGCCTGTCTTGCAAGCCCCAGGTCCTCAGTTTGATACCTCGTACCAGAAAAAAAAAAGAAAAAAATCCTTTTGGGCCAGGGATTTAGCTCAGTAGTTCCGCCGCCTGCCTCGCAAGCTGAAGGACCTGCGTTCAATCCCCAGTACCAAATCAAAAACAAAAATAAAAATATGTAAACCTAAAAATCTTTACACAAAGTAAGCAGTGGCGGGTCTTAAACAAACTCTTCAAAAATAGAAAACCTAAAAAAATGTTCAATTCATCCTGTGAAGTAAGAGTTCTTATCACTTGGACTGGTCATAGTACAAGAAAATGGAATTTAGGCCCATTTTACTCAAAAATACATATGTAGAATTACTAAGTCGGTACGAGGGAACTAAACTCCAACAGTTCGTAAAGGATGACATATCAGGGAGGCAGGATTTATTGTGGGGTAGGGTAACATTAAAAATCGGGAATGGGAACTTACCCATGAAGAGACTGAAGGGAAAACGACCGTCTCAGGTCCAGAAAAAGCTTTGGATGAAACTAACTTAAGTATTCACAGCTTAAGAAACAAAACGATGAATTTTTAACTATAAGGAAATAGAAGTTTAAATGTCAGGAAATCCATCAGTAGCTAATCAGTAGCTATTAACTGTGAATTTGCGGCACTCTCACACATTGCTGATGGTGATTTAGTTGTTCAGGAGACCAGAACGTAACAAGGTATGGCAGAAGTGACAAATCTTGTCACCGTGTATAAAAAAAATCACTGCAACAACTTTTGTAATAGCGGGCACAGCGAAACAGCCTAAATGCCCAGTGACAGAAAATGGCTACATTGTGATACACTTCCATGAAAAATGTTGGTCAGCCCCAGGCCAATCTTAACAAATGTCCAACAGAAAGCAAATCACAGACTACATAGATTTCTGTTTTCAGATAAAAGAGGAAAATGCAAACCTGAAAAACATATTGTTTACTGACATATACAAAGTAGCAAAAGCTGGATTTACCAAATCTGTATACATTCGGCCCCCAACAATTTGAGAATGTAAACATTGATGAGGCATGGGACACAAAAAGATGTCTAAGATTTAATCCCCCAAATGCTGTCGCCGAAAAGGAAGCCAGGGATGGCAAAGCTAAGACTCAGTAGTCTGCTCCAAGGATGATGAAGGGATGGCCGCTGGGTGGCTCGGGACAGCGGTGTCGTTCTCGGTCCTGCGGTGGGCAGGTGTTTCGTGCCCATCTCGTCACACACCTCGTGCATTTCATGTGAGGAGTATATTCCATTGTAAAACTAAAGGTGTTTAGAAGTTCTCCCTGGTCATGAGCTTACTGTACTTATTTAAAGCAGTTTCTCAGTTTGAAAGAAGTGAAGGCCATTTAAGATACAGCACAGCTGGCTTGGGGTTTGCAGTGTGGATTTCCCTGGATAATTTAGGTCAATGTCGTCTGTAATTTAAATTTCCTTTCCTAGGACGAATCTGAATTTAGAGACAAACTCACCCCAATCACTATTTTCATGGAGTACAAGTTGGATTACAGGACGGCGGCGGATGCCACGGGCCTACAGCCCATCCTCAACCAGTTCACGCCCGCCGACATCAGTCGTCAGGTACCTCATGGCTGAGTCAGGAGGGTTTCTGGTTTCTGCTTTTTTTTTTAAGACAGTGTTTTTCTATGCAGTTCAGGCCAACCTTGAACTCAGTATGTAGCCGATGCTGGCCTTGAACTTGTGGCGATCCTCTTGCCTCAGCCTCCCAAGTGCTGACATTATAGATGTGCACCACGCCACAGGTCTAGCTTTGGCTTTTTACGATGTCTCACAGCTCATGCCCCTACCATCATAAGGGATTGTTTTCCTAAAGTCGGGAGATGTTTGGTCAGAGAAGTTGGAAGGGTGGGGGCTGAAATTTACGGCAGAGATATTTAAACCCATAAGAAACTTAGTTCATAGAAAGATAGGGTCATAGTTCATATATGTAAAACAATGCAAGTAAAAATCGTAGTTTATTTACAGCATTTTAGTATTTTGCTAACGTTCGCCGATACTTCTGGGGTTGTGTGTGTGTCTGTGTGTGTTTTGAGAGCTGGGTAGTCCAGGCTGTCCTTGAACTCATGATCGGCCTGTGATGACCTCCTTCCTGAATGCTAATACTAGTGTTATCATTGATGCACATTTTCATTGTTTAAAAGAAGTGGACTATATTCACGTGCACACAGAGAGTACATAAGTAGCTCTTTTCAGCTGTGCTCCTGGCACACACCTGTAATCCCAGCACTGGGGAGGCTGAGGTAGGAGAATCACCATGTTGAAGCCACACAACCTAGTGAGACTAGTGAGGCTTCTTTCATGGGCCCCTGCTTTCCCAGGTCGTATTACAGACTCTTCTGTTATACTGTCTGCAGATTACCAATGCCCAACAGAAATACAATATATTTGTAACTTTAAGTTTGCTGTTTAAAGGCAGAGAGAAAACACGTGAAGTTAATTTGGATAAGTTATCTGCATTAGTTCACTAGGGCTATCTTAACAAAGTACTGTAGACCTGGTGGTTCAAATAATCACACTTCTGGAGGCTGGATGTCCACAGTCAGGCTGTGAGCAGGGTTGGTTTCTCTGGGGCCTCCGTCCTGGGATGGGGGGGTGCACCCTTCTGTGTGTTCCGTGGTCTTCCTCCTGTTTGTGTCTCTCCGGACTCTCCTGTCTTACATAGCACAGGGCAGCCATGCTAGATGATGGCCAAGCTTGACCTCACTTTAGTCAGCACACTAAAGACTTTGCTGCAAGCACAACCCAATTCTGAGCTACTGGAGGACAGGAATTCGGGGCACGCATAATTCAGCCCATGACACTATCCAGAACATCATCATTTCAACACATAATCAACTGAAAAATTATTAGTGAAGTATTTTACATTCCGTTTTTTTATAATCTCCCAAATCCCAAGTGTATTATATACTTATATATAGCATATATAAATTCAGATGCTAAGCTTTCTTTGGAATTTTTTTGTATTGAGAATTCATATAATTTGCAATTGAAAAAGTTGTTTTAAACATGCTAAAAGTTTTTTAGTAATGGGTTCAAATGCTCATATTTTTTTTTCTTTTTTGGTACTGCGTATGGAACTCAGGTCCTTGTGCTTGCGAGGCAGGGAGTGGAACCGCTGAGCCAAATCCCTGGCCTCAAATATTCATTTTTAAATTTACATTAATTGAGACTAAACACAACGTAAAAATCAATATTCCCATCACACTTGGCACATTGCAAATGCTCAGAAGCCACAAGTGGCTTCCTAGTGGAAGCCAGAGTTACAGACCTTCAGAATTACAGACTGAATAGTGCTCTTTGCAGGAAGAATATTTTTCTCCATTTTTGAAGTTCGAATATATATAGAATTTGTACTCCATGCAAGGTATGAAGTGTGTAAGTGTAGAGATTTGTTTCTGTGGGCATGGAAGATGTTGCTTTGTGAAGCCATCTCCTCAGAGCACATGATTTAATATTGTAGTTGGCTCCAGGGCTGGTTAAGTTCCTTTTCTGTCCTGTAAAGTGATAGTTGGCCAAGTATCCCTCTACTGCTGTTTTATTAATAATTTATGCAAATTTCAGATGTATACCACATCAGTATCTCATTTATCATATGCAAAATCAATTCCTTATTCCAGAATTAATTGAGCAGTGATTTACATCTTAGTATGACAAAGAATCATCACAAATTTTTCTAATGGTTGTGATCTTTTCTTTTTCCCTGAAACTTACAGCAACTGCTTAGGTCTAGGTGATTGAATTAATTCACATAGATTTTCGGTTTTCATCCTAATTAAGATAGCAGTTCAGATCCCTGTCATATAATGCTATTCTGGGTAGCTGTGCGTCCCTTGGGGCTTAGAAATATATCATCATCATCATCTGTTTTTAAAGAATTCCTTTCATAATTCTTCCCCCCTTAAAATCTTTCATTTCTACTTTTAATCTGCCTCTCTCTCTCCTTTTGTCAGGGTCCGAAGCCCTTTGGATGCTAGAAGACAAACTAAGTCTGGCTTCTCCTTTATTCTCCTCTTCTTAATTTTTGTATTTTCTCTTTCACACCTTCTGCTTCCCTTCATCCCTTCCTGCCTCCCTTTCTCCCTGCCTGCTCTCCTTCCTCCCTCACCACTCCCTCAGGCTTTTCCGTAGTGCTCCAGTCTCCTGGCAAGATCCAGGGGAGAAACAGTTTGTGTTTTCACTTCGTTCACCTGTCTCGATCATCCGAGTGCATTTGGCTTCTTTTCCTTTTCTTGCTTCCCAAATGGCCACGCACAGGGAGGCTCATTTTGACTGTGTCTGCCCCTCTTTGGTCTCCTCTTGGCGTGGCCACAGTCTGTCTACAGCTCCTCACTCTCTCATCCTCCACACCCATGTTTGTGTGAGAAATTCTAGAAGGAAGCTTATTTTGCCCAAGCTCACACAACTTAGCTGGCAGTGGAGTCAAGACGAACTCTTATTTTTTACTTACTTTCTCTTCTTACTTTCCTCAAACTTTGTTCCAAACTCTTAGCAGCTGATTTGAGATGAAACGAAAAAGTTCTAAGTAATTGTATCTTGTGATTCTTAACTGGCTATGCTGACCTGTTTATACATCAGTGCCCACGGTCTCTTTTGCCTTCAGGAATACAAGCAAGGTGATGAATGTATACGAATCATTGCATGTGTTTATTTGTGTATTCACACACATATACGGTAATATATATAACTTAATTGCTATTTTTACATGTAGGAAACAAACCCATACAACGTTTTTTTTTTTAGGCACATATTCTGCTTGACTGTGGTGAAGACAATATCTGTAAACCCAAGCTGGAGGTTTCTGTAGATAGGTAAGTTTCACTCCAAATGATAAATATTATCATGCAAAATTTAAATGGAAGAGCGCCTTTTCCTATTCAAAGTATGACGATTGTAATGAGATTTAGTTACAGTGTTTTCACTAGTTGCGCAGCCTGACAGATTTAGAACTATTCAACTTTGAAGTAGTGCCACAAAGTAACATTGTATAGTCTGAAAGGTATACTTCCTTGTGGACACACTCCTAATTTAAGGTATATCCTTGCCATTTTATATGACATAAGTTGGGAAGCTCATTGTGAAATTTTATGACAAAGAAGTTATTCAACTTGTAGAAAAATAATCAGGGAATTAAAAAGGGCATAGAGATAAAATTACAACAGTGATAAGAATAGTGGCGACTTACTAATGGAGTCAGTGTTTTCTCTATGGAGAGAAGAATTAGATTTGCACGCGGCAGCCTCTTTTCTGTTTTCTACTGAGCCGAGAAGAGGCCTTTTCACGTCTATCCTGGGATGCCGCTGGGCGAGTCCGCGCTGTCTTTGTCTTTGAACGGGCCTGTGCTCCCCGTGTAACCTTCATTCACTGTCTGGATTTGTCTTCGCTTCCAGTGATCAAAGGAAGATTTATATTGGGGACGACAACCCTCTGACATTGATCGTGAAGGCGCAGAACCAAGGAGAAGGCGCCTACGAGGCCGAGCTCCTGGTGTCGCTTCCCCCGCAGGCCGACTTCATCGGGGTCGTGCGCAACAGCGAGGTGAGAAGCGGGCGCTTGGCAACCCCTCTCCTGCGCAGTCTGAGTAACATCAGTGAGCGGCTCCCCTGCTCGGGCGCACACGCTCAGCCATTCTACCTGGGGCTAGATGGGCAGACAGTAGCTTGCCTGTCTCTCATACTGCCTTTTAAGCCTAATCCTTTTGCGTGATGCGTTGATAGAGCATTTTTAGAATAGCTAGCAGATTGACAGAAAATGAGGTCAGAGAGATAAAAGTGCCTAAGCCGGTCCAGCGCAGTGTTTGCAGGGCGCGCTGTGCTGTAGCTAGGCCTCCAGGTCCCGCAGGGATCTTTCAGAAACACTTGCATCTGTGGATGTGGCAGTTAACACAGTTCTGGCTTCTCTCTTATTGTTTGCTCAAGTAGATTTATTTGCTTCATAAAGAAATGTGAATACTGCTTTGCTACTATGTAGGAATTTCATGTTACAGTGGTCTCTACTTTTCTGGCCACTAATGTCCTTTTATATCCTCTTTCTTTGTCCCTCAAAGGCATTAGCAAGACTCTCTTGTGCGTTTAAGACAGAAAACCAAACCCGCCAGGTGGTGTGTGACCTAGGAAACCCCATGAAGGCCGGGACCCAAGTAAGGCATTTTCAGTGAATGCATTTCCTCCACACACAAACAGAATACTGTATCTTTCTCTGGGTTTGTTCATAGTAATTTTTAAAAACACTTCAACAAAATGTCTTTAAATTGGTTTTCATTTAGTTGAATGATTAGCAGAGTTCTATTGGTTTTAACCAAGATACTAAAATAAGCAGTAAACCACTCTTTTACACAGCTTTCTGTTTGGTAAGTGGATATGAACGTGGCTTAAGAACCGAAACTATAACTTTGGCATTTTAAACTGATTCCTTAACCAGGTGCAGTGACATGCACCTGTAATCCAAGTTGCTGGGGAAGCTGAAGCAGGAGGATCTCCAATTTGAGGCCAACCTGGGCAATATAGTGAGACCTCCTTGTCCAAAAAAAAAAAAGTTAAATTGATGGTTTAATCAGTCATCAGAAGCCACTGTGGCAAATACCAGGACTGTTATTCTTTGTTGAGATGGAATAGGGTTTCGTCTTAACTTGAAACCCTACGGAGGAGGTTCTGCACAGATGATAGAGCTGCATCAGGATCCATCTGGGTGATGGTGGGGCAGGGAGCCTGGGGATTTGGGGAGAAGCACTGAACATCTCTTCTCAAATCCTTTGAAAAGATAACAATACAGTTTGTCTTTTCCTGGTGCCTGGGGGTGGGGTGGGGAATGACATACTGTTTTATCATAGCTTAGATTGATTTGATGCAAGATTGATACTGGTAATGTAAAGATCTGCATGACTCAGGGCTTCCACACTTCTGCAAACGCAATTTTCAGTAGAAGGTCACCCCGTATGGACGGCATCTTGGGGGAGCGGGCCTGGTGGAAGTACCTTAGGTTCTTCACTTGCACTCACAGTGCCCTGACAGCAGGGGGCGTCAGGCCCTCCTCTCATCGCCCTCATCCCCTGGCTCTGGGTGCCCATGCTCGGGGTAGAGTTTATGCTTCTCCATGCAGCAGCCTCCAGGCCCCCAGGCCCCCAGGGGCGCCATTGTTAGGTCTCTCTCACAAGACCTCCCAGAAGCCGGCTTTCCTGTGTGCGTGGCTCAGCAGAGGGACGGCGCTGGCTCTGGCTCTCCTCACACTTTCCTCAGCCCGGCTCTTCTCTTCCTGTAACCTGCCCAGTTCCCCTGCCCGGCCCCTTGGCACAGTTTGGTTCCTAACTTCCTGCTACTGATTCCTTGTGCCTAGTTGTTACACTTTAATTGGATCAGTAAACACTTGCTTTTACATAGAAAGGCAGTTGATTTCATAGGATGGTGTAATTGTGATTAATAACTTGTTAAATAGGCTAGTTTTTGACTAGGTTAAGTGTCTTAAATAAAAAAGATGAATAGAAAATCAGATTTAGCCTGGTGTGGTGGCAGATGTTCGTGATCCCAGTGTTTGGGTGGCTGAGGTAGGAGGATGGTTGCAAGTTCAAGACCAGCCTGGGCTACATAGTGAATTCAAGGCCAGCCAGAACTATATAGAGAGAACCTATATTTAAAAACCACACCAAAAAAAATCAGATTAATTGTCCTTATTGACTTTTTTTATAAACTCAGCAAGACTCTCTTAGAAGATTTTTTTTTTACTTGGGCATTGGATTAGAAATGTATAATTTTTAATTTCAAGTTAGTGACCAGATTTCCATCTTTTTCTTTCCCCTTCAGCTCTTAGCTGGTCTTCGTTTCAGTGTACACCAGCAATCAGAAATGGATACTTCTGTGAAATTTGATTTACAGATCCAAAGGTGTGAAAACAACTTATATAACTATGAAGAAAATGTTAACAATATGTAATATACTTTATTATGGTTCATACTTCAGTTCTTGATTATAGGATTCATGAAAATCAATATTTAGATTATAAGAATAACTTGTCAACATTGAGTTTATAAAACAAAATTAAAAATTAGGAAACAAGGGCTGGGGATTTAGTTCAGTGACACTGCACCTGCCTCACAAGCACAAGGTCCTGAGTTCAATCCCTGGTACCAAAAAAAAAACAAAAGTTAGGAAATAAAACTCAATCATCTTGCAGTTTAATTCTAATTAAAACAATTGATTTGATGTGTAAGGCCTTCATATTTTTGTTCCTTTGAACTTACTTATTTTTAGTTTTGCTGGTTTGCCTGTATATGATTTTGATGATAATTGTGCTCAGTTCCATTCTAAATATGTTTTTTTTTTTCTTTCAGCTCTAATCTTTTTGACAGAGTGAGCCCAGTTGTGTCTTACAAAGTTGACCTTGCTGTGTTAGCTGCTGTTGAGATAAGAGGGTCAGTATGGTTACTGCATTGGGTGCTTTGTTACCACGTTGTCTTTGAAAGGTTACCTAGGCCCTGGCTTCCTTTGGACGGAAACGCTCCATGGTTAATGGTGATCTTACTGGGGCACTAGAGTCTAGAAATAAGCTCCTGGATGTGTTTCAAAGCTCCACATAGTTATTTGGTGATCTTCTGAAAAGAAATAAGATTTAACAAGAAAAGTCTCAAGATAAGTTCATTGAGCTTTTACACACATTGACTTACCAATTCTCCTGTCTGCAATAATAGGAGTTTTTGTGTGTATGGTCATTCACTAGTCTTTTGTAGAAGATTTTTTTAAGTAGATCTGATTAGACGCATTTGGATACAAGGTTCTTTTGAAAATGAACTGACTCTATCATTCTGGTATTCATGGTAGGCTTTCTTTGGTCATTATTTATAGAGTTTCAAGCCCTGATCATATCTTTCTTCCAATTCCAAACTGGGAGCACAAGGAGAACCCTGAGACTGAAGAAGACATCGGGCCTGTTGTTCAGCACATCTATGAGGTCTGCAGCTCTTGGGTTTAGTGGGCTCTAGTGAGAATCAACAAAGAAAACAGCCACATGGCGTTTACAGAACAAGTCTAATTTTTATGTAAACTCTGCATAGCTTAAGTATGTACCATAGATTTCATTGGAATTTTCCCTACTTACAAGTTCATTTGTATTAGATCAGTAGCTTTGTGTTTAACAAAAACAACTGATATAATTTGTTATCTAAAACCAATTAGTTCTGGGGCCGGGGATTTAGCTCAGTGGTTCTGTTGCCTGCCTCGCAAGTGCAAGGACCCAAATTCCATCCCCGGTCCAAAAAAAAAGCAATAAATAAATAAAAACAATTAGTTCTACTTGAATAAAAGAAATAAGTCACTGGGAATTTTCCCATGGACATTTTGCAGTTCGGTCTGAAAATTGAAAATGCCTGTAGTAGTCAGAATTTTATTTTTACAAGAAAAAACATTTTTTTTACATTATTCACCAATAACTCTTTAGAATTACTTTTTTTGGCACTGGGAATTGAACTCGGGTCCTTACGCTTATAAGACAGGCAGCTGAACCACTGAGCTAAATCCCAGCCCAACTCTTTAATATTAAACTCTTGTTTATTTTTTAATCCTTATACATATTACTGTAGTTTGAGGACAAAAAATACTGAGCTTGATCTCTCCATAAGGCTCCTTTTATCATTCAGAGTCTTAACTGTAGAATTCTGCCGCTATTCAAATCCTGTTGTTGATATGATTTCTAAAGCCGATGAAGGGAAAAGGGTAAGGGTAGCAGAAGAGATCCTTGCCCAAGGTGTTTACATCTTCTTTTCCTTATTAGCTGAGAAACAACGGCCCAAGTTCATTCAGCAAGGCAATGCTCAATCTTCAGTGGCCCTACAAATACAACAACAGCACCCTGCTGTACATCCTGCACTATGACATTGATGGGCCAATGAACTGCACTTCGGACGTGGAGATCAACCCTCTGAGGATTAAGGTAACGCGCTCCATGCAGCTCTTCATCACGATGTTTTACTGCTGTCTTTCTGGACCTACAAACGAACTAAACTGTTTTAATACACAGGCGCCATAAAAAAGATTTTAGATCATAACCAGTGCACTACGAATTAGGGTTTCTGTAAAATGGGTCCGGATTAATTATGTGAAGTCCTAGTGAACTGTACATTTGTGGGGTGGTCGGTGAGCCTCGCAGGAGAGTGTTAGGAACACAGTCTGACGTTGGCTCCTTTTAGCTTCGAGTTAGTGTCTCATATGACCTCAGGCTGTTGTGTGTTGGAATTTCTGTCTTTGGAATAAGCATGCACCATTTTACTTGTGACTGTTTTCTTACATGACCTAGGAAGATGTCACTCGATAGAATTACATATATTTTGAATATGTCCTCTCCATCCTAGTATGTATATTTGCATGAGAAACGGTTGCCCACTGTGGTCTAGGGAAAGTTAAGACATTGAGGTAAACACATTCACTGCGATACTCCCCACAGACCTACAGATGTACTGTGGCATCTCCAGCTTTGTGTATGTGCTTTCGTCATCTTCCCTTCCAACTTCTGCAGAGGAAGTCATGGCTCTCCTAGCTCTCCCTAGCTAACTTTTTTGGGACAACTGACGGGCTCGAATCTTTGTTTTCTGTCCTTATTGTTCCCCATATATTGAGGGATGAATTTTCTATCACCCCAAATTGCATATGCCATTTGTTAATCATATATAGGGGTTCAGGTGAACGAGTCAATGTAAGAGGTTTTCCATCGTGACTCACAGTGCGGTTTGACACTGCATTCCAGATCTCGTCTTTGCAAGCAGCTGACAAGAATGACACAAGTGTTGGGCAAGGTGACCGGAACCATCTCATCGCCAAGCGGGATCTCGCCCTTAGTGAGGGAGACATTCACACTTTGGTAAGTGCCATTTCCAGGACGTGCAGGGACATTTTAAAATATGTGGCTGTAGGACTGATGCCAGAGAGCTTTTCAGAAATCCATAGCAGCTGTGCTGAAAAAGAGCTACATTTATTTTTACATTTATTTTCAGTCATTTTACCTTTTTTCTAGTCAAATTAGTGCCAGATTTTCAAATCATCTCTTCTATAGACTGCTAATAGTTGTATTTTATGTTCTGACTTTTGTTTTTGACTGCAGTCTGACTGCTTCCTGAACTGAGAAGGCCCCAGCAAAAGCATATTAGAAGAATAATTAACATTATGATTAACTATCATTGAGTCATACTAAGCAATGACTACATCCTTTAACTTTTTGAAAATTAACAGATGTGCCAACCATCCCTGAGGAGAGAACCTGGTGTCATGTTTTTGTTCAGTAGAATCGCGAGTTACTGTTACGACCCCGAATTGTGGGGTCCGACTCGTCATCCGGTTCAGCCACCTGGTGACTTCAGCTCTCGGTGCATTCTCCACCTTCCGCCTCGACCTGCTCAGATTCCAGTTCTGATCTCCTTTAATCTTGGAGTGTCCCAGGGGTGGGGGCTCAGGCTTCTCCTCCGCCTCTCCTGTGTTCACTCACTGGATCTGCTGTCCAGGATCGGGAAGCCTGTCCCATCTCAAGGGCCCAGCAACCCCACGAGGCTGGAGGGCACCTGCATGTGGTGTCGCCACCTCTGTGTGGATGGGTTTCCTTCCTGGCGGTTCTCCCGGGCGGCACTGCACCCCACGGTCTTCTGGAATCTCTTGGCTCTCAGTACCGTCGGGTGCAGAGGACTTCAGGGTTCATTTCCAGCCTGACCCTCTGCGTAGAACTCCAGCCTCTTAACTTACGTCTGCTGGAACTGCTCCTAAGGGGAAATTGCAAACTTAACTCTAAAATGATACCTGGAGCCTTCCCAACTCTGCTCTGTCCATGGTGGTCCACATTCAGTAAATATCAGCTCTGTTCTCTAAAACTTGCACCTTTACTTTCTGTCGCATCCCACAGCTGACATTTCAGCAAATCCTACCGTTATCGACTTTCTGAAATGCCCAAGATCTGACCCTCTCTCACGAGCTCCACCAGTGTCAGCTCTTCCAAGAGAAGAGCCCGGCCGCCTCTTCTCTCACAGGACTTGCCAAGCCCCTCCTCTTGCTGCCTTTCTCCCCATGCTGTTCATTTGCCACACACAAGCCACAGCGATTCGTTTACATGTAGGTCGGGTCACAACATCTAACTAAAATCGTAGCCAGAGCGTACAGTTATCTCGAAGTTCAACCTGACCAGGCCTTTCCTGCCTCTGTCTGCATCATCTCCTTTCGCGCGCTGCTTTTCCCACTTCCTCTGCTTTTTATGGAGCAGACAGCCCTCAGCACGTTTGTGTCCCTCGGCCTTTAAAAGGCCTGTCTCACTCTGTCTGCTCTCCCTGTGGCCGGCTCCCCCGTCTCCTTCTGGTGGCCAGCTGCCTTCCACTCCACCTCCAGGCCCACTTCTGATCCTGCATTCTCTAGCCTATCGAATTATTTATTTCAAAAATTAAGAGAAAAATTTACCACCCAGTCATGTGCAAGTATGTAATGTAGTGGTTCCTAGTATGTCTTTACAACACTGTGCAGCCACCAGCCGCTGCAGTTCTGAAGTTACTCCCCATTCTTCTCCTACCACTGCTCTGCTTCTAGGCTCTACTGCTCTGCCTGCTTTAGATAAGGGTACAGCGGGCAGCCTGTTCTGTCTGGCTTCTTTCACGTAGCATATTTTCAGGATTCGCCCACGTTTTAGCACGTGTTAGTACTGGATTCATTTTTGTAACTGGATAGCCTTCCATTGTGGGGACACCGCCCCTCATCCCCTTGGTGGAGATTGAGATCGCTTTTGCTTTTTGTCTGTTTTGAATAGTGTCCGTGCCACAGTGGGCATACATCCAAAAGTTCCCTTGGGGATAAACCAAGCAATGGGATTGCTAGGGTCGTATGGAAACTCTGTTTAGTTTTTTTAAGACCTGTTTTCCAGACAAGCAAGATACAATGGTGATGATTGCATTTTCTCCACATCTTTTCCAGTGATATTGATTGTCTGCTTTGGTTGATAGTTACCCAGTTGGTGGGAAGAGATATTTCATCGTGGTTTTGGTTTGTTTGTACCTATTAACTGCTGATGTTGAACATCTTTTCATTTGTTTGTCTTCATTGGAGTTTCAAATTCTTTGCCCACTTTTAAATTGGCTTGTTTTTATTTTTAATGTTTTTTTTGTTTGTTTGTTTTGTTTTGTTTTGTTTTGTTTGGTACTGGGACCTTGTGCTTTCGAGGCCGGCAGCAGCACCACTGAGCTAAATCCCTGGCCCTTTTCTTTCTTTCTTTCTTTCTTTCTTTCTTTCTTTCTTTCTTTCTTTCTTTCTTTCTTTTTCTTTCTTTAATTGGGTTGTTTTTTGTTGAGTTGTGGAAAGTCCTTATATATTCTAGATATTACTCTTGTTACATATATAATTGCATATATTTCCTTTCATTCTGTGTGACTTATTTTTTTCTCTCCCTATTTTTGATAGTGTGTTGGATGCACAAAAATTTTAAAATTATTGTTACTTATACTTTTGTTGTCATGTTTTTAAAAAGACGTTGTGTAATCCAAGATCATGAAGCTTTACACTTAGGTTCTCTCATTTTCTAATTTTGACACAGCCCTTCCATGTACTGATTTGCTTCATTTTGGGTAAATGTTTGCATGTGGTGTAAGGTAGAGATCCAGAGTCACTTGTTTACTTGTGGCTGTTCAGTTTTCCTAGCAGCATTTGCTGAGCTGTTTTCTCTCCCTCTTTAATTGTCTTGGCCTCCTGTTGAAAACAAATGAACAGCAGGTGCAGTTTTACTTCAGTTCTGTTTTGTAAAATTATCATTGATTCATATTAGTTGTACGGATGAATGAAGCTTGCTGATTCTCCCTTAGGTGCTCGTGGCAATCACACCCACCCGCCTTCCTTCCGCTCCCCACCCCGCCCGCCCCGTCCTTGGTATTCTTTCTTCTCCTTTCAGCTCAGCTTTTCCTTTTTCTGTCATTTCTATTTTGTTGCCCTGTAAGTGCAATCTTACGCCAGTACCGAAGTTGTTTTTCGTTGCCATAACTCTGTAGTAAGTGTTGAAATTGGAACGTGTGAATCATGTACTGGTTTTGTTTTCCGAGAGTGTTTGGGCTATGTGGCTCCTTACAGCTCCGCACGAAGCTGAGGCTCGGCTCATCCATTGCTTCAGAAGAGGTGGTTGGACCCAGAGCATACTGCCGTTGAGTCTGACTATGAATTTGGGGAGTGTTGTTATCTTAACAATATCACACCTTTCCATCAGTGAACACAGGCTTTCTATTTATCAAGGTCTTCTTCAGTGTCTTTCAGAAGTGCTTTGTAGCTTTCAGTGTACTAGTTTTATACTTCCTTACTGATATTATTGCTATGTAATTTGCTTTTTGATGCTGTTTTAAACAGATATGTCTTAATTTCCTTTCTGAATTTTTGATTTCTAGTGATGAAGCTATAACTCATCAGTATATTGATGGTTCCCTTTTTTTGTGCTTGTTAGCTCTTTATTAGTTTTCGTGTGGATTACTTAGTGTTTTCAATGTAGAAGACCCTGTCATCTGCAGTGAGATAGCTTTTCTGTGTCCTCTTACGATGCCGTTGTTGCCTGATTGTACTATTTAGAGCTCTCTGTGCAGTGTTGAGTGGCAGGGGCAGGGTGGGCACCCACGTCGTGTTTGTGATCTTAGGGAAGAGTACCCAGTTTCACCCCACCTTTCTCAGGTGCTGCTTTGTGGACTGTACTTTTGTCACACATGTGCTTGTGACAGGTTTAATGTGACTAGTACAGAGAAGGTGATAAATGTTGGTTTCCTTTGACTGCCAACCTTCAAGTCACTGCTAAAAACGCCACTAGAGGTGTCAGAGTCCCCAGCACACTATTTGCGTTCTAGAAGTTTGACGTGGAATGGCCATTAAAAATCCACTCTACTTATTTTTCTTTTTCCGCAGAGATACCATGATCTGACTTTCGTGTCTTCCCATAATCACCATGCTCTGAGTTTGCTTAAAGAATTTTGAGGTCTAGCTGTAAACATGAATCTTTCAATATTATAGATGGTTCTTCTATAATAAATCACATTAAGACCAACCCCTTTATAATAAAGAAGTGTATACTTAATAAGTGAGCCCATTTAAGCATTATTCCTATAAGACCAAAGGACTGGGGTCCTCTCTCTCTGGTCAGGAAAAGAGTCAGATAAAGCACCCTATCCACAGTCGGGGTGGCGGTGGTAGCGCGAGCTCTCCTTATAAGCGCGCACTTTGCTCTCGCAGGGCTGTGGAGTCGCCCAGTGCTTGAAGATCGTCTGCCAGGTTGGGCGGCTGGACAGGGGCAAGAGCGCCATCCTCTACGTGAAGTCCCTGCTGTGGACTGAGACCTTCATGAATGTAAGTAGGCAGACGACAGCCGCACAGGGAGCGTGAAAGGCCTGGCCCCCGGGGAATCCCCTCACCGCTCTTTCCCCGCAGAAGGAGAACCAGAACCATTCCTACTCGCTGAAGTCTTCCGCTTCCTTCAGTGTCATAGAGTTCCCGTACAAGAACCTTCCCATTGAGGACGTCTCTAACTCCACGCTGGTAAGTCTTGGATTTAGGGAAGTGGAGTAAATGCACTCTGTCGAATGCTTCAGATGATTGTTTTGTCTAAAAGAATGGCTGCTTAGCTCTCCCAATAATTTTAAAAGAACTAAGTTATTTGATAGGATTATAACCTTGTGTAGCAGTAGTTACTTTATTATTAAAAGTAGAATTATTAAAGTTAGACCTTTTATTTTTAGCATCTTGACACTACATTATAATGAGGCTCTTTTAGGATTTTCCTCCTCATAAAGTTAGAAAGCTGGAAACTAACTGCAGTTAGTAAAGGCATTTTAGAAACAGGTGTGTTGGTGCACACCTGTAATCCAGTACTTGGGAGGCTGAGGCAGGAGGATTGCCTTGAGTTCGAGGCCAGCCTGGGCTACATAGTGAGTTCAGGCCAGTCTGAACTACGTAACGAGACACTGTCTCAAAAAACAAATGAAGGCATTTTGAAAATTTTCAAGGATTGAAAGTGGAATCCGATCCTAAATTGGACTAGATTATTTAAGTGTTTTCAGAGGCAAACAGAACGTGTCCTGTGGTTGGGAGTTCACGTGTGTCAGTCCGTGCTTCGATTCCAGGACGTAATCACTAAATAATCACGTGGGGAAAGGGCCATGTGACTACAGTCGAATAAAATTTCATAGGCACTCCAGTATTTAAGCCAGCAAATTATTTTTAAAACTAAACACTTTGCCCCCAACAGGTTACCACTGACATCACCTGGGGCATTCAGCCCACGCCCATGCCTGTGCCCGTGTGGGTGATCATTTTAGCTGTTCTCGCGGGGCTGCTGCTGCTGGCTGTGTTGGTGTTCGTAATGCACAGGGTAAGTGAGGGGCAGAGAAAGGGCAGGGGAGAGAGGGGGCAGGAGCAGAAGAGCAGGGAGAAGGAGGAAGAGAAGAATGGAGAGAAACAAGGAAGAAAGAAAGGGCCTATGTGGCGTACGGTAAGACTTTATCATTTGAAGGATGAGAAATGATAGAGAGCCAGTCAAGTTTTCTTGATGACAGTGTCATCGCTCCAGAAACATTATTGTATCTCTTCTGGTGTGAAGACAAGGCTGGCTCTTTTTGTTTCAACGTACAGATGGGCTTCTTTAAACGTGTCCGGCCACCCCAAGAAGAACAAGAAAGGGAACACCTTCAGCCTCAGGAAAATGGTGAAGGAAACTCAGAAGCCTAACCACGACTCTTAAGTTAGGCTGCATCTCGATTCATCAGGATTAACAACTTGATTATCAATTTGCAATTTCTTCACAAGGAACAAGATTTCATTCGGGGCTGCTGGTGGGACCCAGTGGCCTCAGTTTCACCGCAAAATAGAGAGCAATGTCTGTCCACCTCCTTTTTATAAATAAGTTCACACATGCATTTAATATGTGTACACTGACTTCGGTTTTTAGAGATTTAAATAATGAAATTTTAAGCGATGGTTCTCATTCACAACATAAACCAGGTAGTGCCTGAGTTACTACTGGATATAAAACAGTGCTTCCTACAGTTACTACTTCTGAGCGAGTGCGTGGCTTTTCACTGTTCGTTGCTATAGTTTGAAAGCAATTCACCCTTGCCCAGTAGTCCCCTCGGTTTTGGTCCTGGAACTCAGTCTGATACCCATTACACTACAGTTGCCTTTTCAAGCTACTCAAGACTTTGTAGTTGCATAAAATTGGGTTTTAATACCATGTATAGGTAAAAGTTTTTAAAAACAGTGTGCTACATCACAACTCCTCCCTGGAGGATAGAGGTGAATTTCAGGGCCTGAGCACTTACTTGGCGTGTCCACAGCCCGAATTCAACCCCCAGCACTGGAAAAAATAATTTCTTTCCCATAATAGCCGCGGTACGGTATTTGAATATGAAAACTGGGTACATGGTATTAAATATTTATATTTAATCTGCAATCTATTTTTATTACACTTGTATAATTTAAGTTCTGCGTCATCGGTCAAACCACCTTATATTAAAAATTAATTCTGTAATCAAAAATGCCTTTTTCTGTGTAATAATATGTTTAGTTTCAGATAAACATGCTTAAAGCCATATGGAGTTGGAAATTGTTTCCAAACTACTTCTAGTCCATTGTTTTCATCTGGTTATTTTCAATTCAAAAAAGGAAGCATTTTAATTAAAAGTCTATGCTTGCAGTTTTTGGATATAATTGGTTATTAATAGTATGTTCTAACAATAGAGCAAAGGTTTTAGTTGGTATTAATTTATTTCCTTCTTTCATCTGTATTTTTTCTTAACACTCCTGAAACTTAACTGAGAATAGGTTATGAAAATTTTTGTAACACAGGGGAACTTGAGGCCCACTCTCGCCACATGAAAAATGCTGAGGGTCAGAGCTGTTCAGGAAGCTCCCTGGGTTCCTTCTGGCCCTAGCACGATGCCGCTTACATGGTGGTACCTCAGTTTAAGCAAAGTGATGTATAAAACCTGTCTCAGCGATCAGAATAAGTGTGAAAAGCTATTCCCACAGACAGTTCAAGTTACTGAAAACCTTTTAAAACTTAGGTTTTTAGCATGAATTACTTCTCTAGGGTTTTTAATAAAAGCAGCAGAGATGGCAAGTTATAGTTTTATATGCATGGAACATGATTTATTCCCAGTTCTCAAGGCCTAGGAATGACTATCAGTTATGCCTATTTTTGTGCAATTACATCATGTTGCGCACAAGAACTGGAGAGTTTAATAACTTTTTAACTTCCGTCCTTATTAGGCAACGATAAATATTTCCCTTAAATAATTTGACTATTTTTCTATGTTTTGAAAATAACTGAAATTTATCTTGTGATATAATTCCATGCACAAGCTAATCTGGAGAATATTTTCATAAAATAGAAGCACATTTAAGTGAGTTGCATAAATTAGAACATAGAACCTATTTAGCTTTAGTGAATTTTAAAATTAAGGGGTTTCAGAGTGTAGAATTTGTTAGTAGCTTGAGAGATCTTAATCGTATGCAGTCAGTATTTTTATCATCAATAAATTTAAATTCTAAGAAAAAATATTTTTATCCTAGGACCACCAGTCACTAAATGGGCCTATGGCAAGTTTTTACCTTATCTGTTTTCCTTTATAATACTTTTATTCCTGAAAATATTCATCAGACAGAAATCCACTCTTTGACGAAAGTGTCAATATTTCATTTTGTTCTGTTTATTACTTTTATGGCCTATATATCAAGGAATACTCTATTGAGATTGAAATATATAATAATTGCCACTTAACATGTTTTAAATTGTCTGTATAAAGGGTAGTTTAAAGTAGAGATTTTCCTTTCAAAATAGGAAAACATTTCTCTCAATAAAAATGCAGAATATAATTTGAAAGTCTGCTTTCTGAGGAAAAGGCTGAGGTTCTTTTTACCTTAAAGTAACATAGAAATATATTTGACTAAATGTAAAAAAAATAGTTTTATGTAATCTATTTTTATCACTAAACATTTTTAAATAGTATTGGTGATTTATTGAGATTAATATTTGAAGTATAAAATTCTCATAATGATTCAGTTTTTAAAATATAAATGAGCTAGCACATATTAAAAGCATTTCTGATAAGTGAGAAATACACTGATTTCTTATAGAAGTATTTATTTCAGAATTGATATTTTGAGAAACATTTGTGTGAGGGTCATTTTCCTTCTCTTGACTTTTCTCTTATGATTAATTGTCATCTTAATTCTGATTAAAAGATCTTAGTTATTCTGAAGGCAAAGCAATTTGACCAGATAACATTGCCATAGTGCTACGGTGTTATGAAATTACTTATTCATAGTTAATTCTCACGAATGCAATCCTTTATGTAAGGGGGGATTTCAAGTGTTAGTAAAAGAGACTTTACTGGCTTCTTTACAAAAGCATGAAAGTTTTTGACAGTAAATCATGACTCTTAAGGGAGAGTTAGGCAAAAATATGGTATATAATGGATTGGCTCGGTTTTGTAAGCAAACAGAATGTGTAAGTTAATACACATTCCTGTGGGGCAGAATATGTTGATGAGCCTATTGGAGAAGGATGAGGCTTTCTGGGAGTACTGGTGTGTCACCTTGATTGTATATATATATATATATATATATATATAGTTTGATAATTTACAAAAGGAAAAAAATCCAAAAATTGTGTATGGGATCCAAAAAGGTAAATAAAATTACAAAATACTCAGTGCTTTGCAAAATATGCCTTTTAACTTGTTGCTTGGCTAATTTGAGTAGTGAACCCATGATTGGGCAGCATGAATTTTGTATACTTGCATTTCTTTCTTTTCAATTTCTGTTACGTAATGACCTTCTCTGGACAGGTACTGAATCTTATTTTTGTTGTCTTTGTCCTCAAGTGCAATATAACAACGTAACAAGAACCTAGATAACATCAGTCATCATTCAGTAAGCCTAAACTAAACTGAGATTTCTTAGCATTTTTAGTAGCAGGAAAGAGCGATTCTGCTGTGGCTACACAAGTGAAGCTATTTACCCCTAAGTGGTCCACTCTGCATTTTATTTCAGGCTGGACACGAACTATGCCTTACCAGCTTTGAAACACTTTGAAATATCTAAAGACAAGTTGGAAGCTGTGTATGTGAAATTAATTTGCTACCTAGGTAACAGCGAGTAATTATCTTTGTTTCACTTCTCTTGTGATCACCCACATTGGGTGAGACATGAAAGGAGTCTGTTTTCCATTCTGTCATTTGCTGACTTGTTAGTGAAAGCTGGTCCAGGGCTCTGTTTGGTTTCCGATGTGTAACTTGTGACTGTACAATAAACTTGAGCAAATGGCGTCACTTCTGTGTCTGGACTCCATCCTTTCCTTCTGTTGTGTTTTGTATTAACTTTTAATCATATGAACCTGCAATTGTGCACCAAAAGTGTGACCCTCAAAGCGGTGATGCGCCTTTCTAAACATTGTTAAGAGCATCAGTCATTTGAAGAATACAAAAACAAACAAAAAGCAAACCTAATGTTAAAATATCTGCCGAGAAAATAAATATGTATTTGCTTGAAATCTAAGAATCTTTTTATTTTTAAACAATTATTTCTTAGTTTTATCACACTTTGTATTTTCACCTTGTTAGATTATTTTAAAAATACACATTTTGTGTTTCGTGACTTTTTATATATCTGCAGTTCTAGAAGTTGAACATTCTTAATCCAGAAACCCCAAACCCCAAATGCTCCACAATCTAGAGCTTTCTGAGTAGATGTCAGCTTTACTGAACCAAAAAGGTTTATGTGGATATTCCAAAAGCTCACCTCTGAAGTCTGAACCGCCTTTGGCCCTGCACTTTTCAGATAAAGGCAACTCAACCTGTATTAAAAGTTCTGTGTAAATGTTTGCAGAGAGAGACATGTTAAACCTGATTTAAACATATGATTGTCAAAATAAGTCACCCCTAAGATGCATGGTTTCTACATTTATGTTCCAATAGTCACATGGTTAAAGTACTATAGATTTCATAGTTTATTAAAATTCATAGATAAAGTATTTGTTCAAGGAAAGCATTTTATTACTTTCTACCAATAGATTGGGTTACTTACAATGTCATTTTGAATAAGATACTAAATTAACAACAACAAAAAAAGATGTAACATTTGGAAATACCTTTTCAGGGTATGGATTTCATCTGGTTGAAAGAAGGCATAGCTCACTGCCAGTAATCTCCAAGGTAAGTTACCATGAAAGATCGGGGATTTAGCTCAGTGATTCTAGTACTTGTGCCTCACAGGTACAGGGACCTAAATTCAATCCCGGGTTTAAAAAAAAAAAAAAAAGATTGTGGATTCACATAAACACAAGGTTTTATTAATATTTGTTTTTGTCAAAATGCAACCTTAATCTGTTGGTCTTGTGAGGGTCCTGTTTATGCCCTGTGTCTCTCTATCAGACTAGGTATATTGGCCCTTGCTGCTGCTTTAAAAAAAAAACTTTCCTGTGTAATCAACACTTGGGTACAAACAATTTTAGGTTGCCTTTGATGACTACAGTTGTTTTGCCGTAACAGTGGAGCTGTCAGAGAGAAAGTGCTGGTCAGTTTTTTCCAACTTCCACATCTTTGTGTAACAGTAGTTGTGCCGTTAATTTTTTAAATGACTTTTTGGTCATTTAAGAAAATGGGCCGGAGATTTAGCTCAGTGGTCCCACCGCCTGCCTGGCAAGCGGAAGAGCCTGTTTGATCCCCAGTACAAAATTAAATAATAAATAAGTAAATAAAGTGGAAAATAAGTAGTGACAACACATTCGAAACTAATAAAATTGCAAATTGTGGGCCACTGGATGTGACTGATTAGCTATATTCACAATGGGGGAGAATAGGAGCAAAATTACCTAGGGAATGGTACTGTAACGTGTTTAAAACTTCTAAAAAGTGTGGAAAAATAGATTATATTTTAAATTCAGGAATATGGAGAAATCACCTACAATTTGGGACATTCAGAAATTGAATGTGTATATATTTGGGGGCTCCCTAAGAAAAAAGAGGCACCCCAGACCACACGTTTCTTGTGGCGAGAGGTTGCAGTTGACAATGGTGTTGCTGAATCCAGTCCAAGCTCTGGCTGCATCACTTAACAGTGGCCACTTCCGTTTTCCCGTGGAGGCCTCTTCCCTCACAGTGGGAAGTGTTCCAATTTCTTTGCCAACCACAAAATAGGTGAGGAAAGTTCCAGGCACGGCTCGTGTGAAAGTGACGGTGAAAGACAGAGCCAAAACCACACATCTGGACATGGAGGCCGAACGCATGCCTGAGAAGGGGACCTCTGGCCCGTGATGATCCACCTCCACACACCGTGGAGGGCACCAAGAGGACAGGCAGCGCCTCACTGGACACGGAGATTTGACCTCTGCAGAACACCAGAGTCGTTGGAAACAGTGTGTTAAATCCAAAGATGCTGTATGAAAATGTTAGGATACAAGTTTGTCAAAGGAGGGAGTTAAATTGTTAATCCTACAAACAAATGCCTGTTTTTGCAAATGAGATGCACAGAGAAGAAGATTAAGAGGTGTCGAGATGCTTGAGGGATGACAGGGAAGTAACAGAATGTGGTCATGGATTCCTACTGATACAACAAGTTCAGGGAGTAGACTGTCAAAGGCGTTAAAAAGCTGCCCTTCCAGTCCTCCCGACCTCTTTTACAAACGTGGCGCTGCCCTCAGTCCCAGTGCTGTATTTAATTAGATGTGCACTTCCCCTTTTCCAGCAAGTTGTGACTTCCCCTGTCCTGACCCCTGTACTCCACACTTGGCTTCTAATTAAGTGTAAAATGCGTAGCAATTGCATGATAAGGATGCGGGTGCTCTGAATATGAAAACTATAAAATGAAGAGACTTCTACTTCCTGGCTGAATTAACTAGTTCTTTAGGATCACATGATGTAAAATACAGTAGACCCTCAAGTTACAACCTATGAATAATTAGGTTAATTAGGTTAATGGAAGATTCACCTGCCTCTTGTCATCTATAGTGTGCACCTGGGTAAACAGATCTTAGGAGTACTGACTTCAAACCAACTTGAGTTATAACCAGCCCTCAAGAACCAATTGGGTTAAGTAAGTCAAGGGTCCACTGTACGTGACAATTCTAAAAGTGTCATAATCACTTGGGTTCAAAATTCTGCCCCATCACAAGCCTCACCTCTTAAAGGTTGTTAGGATTTTATGAGAAAACAAGGCTGTCAAAGGCACATAGTATGTGCTTACCAAATCCACCTCAGTCTTGCCGTCATCTGCTTTATCCAGAGAATTATGAGCGGTAGACTTCTCTTTGCCCAGGGTAATTTAAAAACATTTCTGAAGCTTATAATGGTGATAAATCATGAAAAAGCCAAGCCATTAATTCGAGTTATTTGCAAGGAGTCTTGAAATACCACAAAAGCCAATCCTCTATAGCCCTGTTGGTAAGAAATAATAGCAAAGTCTATTTTTGGAAAAGAATTGAGCAGTTTTATATTTTGAGGGGCAAAAGCATTTTAAAAGGCCAAGATGTTGATAGGAATGAAGGGGAAATTGCAGAGCAGACCAGGACATATTAGGCAGGAGGAAGAAGCAGCAGGATTAGCACTAAGAGATCGCATAGAACAGGCCTGGGGAACAGTTTGGATTAGGAGCAGAGGCATAAAATTGGCAAGCAACGGCATTCTGTGTTTTGTTTTAAAATACATGAGCTGGCAACATTAATGGATTAGAAAAGTTTACTTGAAAGACCAAGATTGAGGCTTCTAAAAACTGCAACTTCTGGAGGGCCTGTTCTTGCATGGATACAGAACTGGAACTCAGTGTCACTTGCTTGGAGTTGTCCAGCAAGTTCTAGGTGATCACCAACCCCAGAAAGTCTTCCAGGCCCTCTGCTCATTTGCCTCATATGCCTGACCTCTCTAGGAATCAGAAGTGGGAACTCCTAAGCAAGTCTTACTGAAATGATAAATGAGTTTGCCTTAGTTTTTCTTCACTGGAACAAAATGCCTAAGACAATGAATTTAGGAGAGGGTTATGATTTTAGAAGTTTCAGTCCATGATTGTCCCAGTTGCTTCTGGCCTGTGGTGAGGCAAAGGGACTAACCTGTTGACCAGCAAACGAGAAAGGAGGACCCAGGGCCCAGGTTCCCCTTAGGACACTGTGCCCTGCCCCAAGGGGGACCAAGCCTTTAACATCTGCACCCTTGCGAGACATTCAGCATCTAAGCTGTAGTGAGATGAGACTACCTGATCCGTCTGTTGTAGCCCACACTCTGGCCAGGTTTATCCAAGATATCCTCTCTATGCCACCTGCCTCGCAAGCGCAAGGACCCAAGTTCGATCCCTGGTACCAAAAAAAGAAAGAAAAAAAGAAACAATATCCTCTCTATTGGCTTGCTTGCAGGTGAGATCTGAAAACAAGGCGTGTCCCCCGGGCACGCTAATATTTTAGCATGATTGGCTGACTTGATTCCATAAAGGAAGATTATATGAATTTTGTGTCCAGCAGTAAAATCCTAGGCATTTAAATTTTAAAGGGGGTTTCAGATCCCGGTAAGCTCAGAGTAGCTAGGCTCAGGCGACAACAGTGAATTCTGAGCAAAGCAGGAGAACAAGACAAAAATCCTTTGGAGGCATGAAGCAGGTGCTTTTCCTTTTAGGGGGCTCCCTGCTGCTGCATAGACTTTCCTGGAAGGATGGGGTGGCTGCCCAGCCAGAAATGGAGGGGAGGTGTCACAGGTATTCAGTCTGTTAGATAAGAGGCTTGTTCTTTGATTTTTCCTATGATCCACCTCTATTTTTTGACTTCTGTTTGATATCTGGGTCACATAGTTCGCCTCCTGAAAGAAAAAACTGCCTTAGATACGAGTTTGGATAGATTCTGTTATTGTTTTCTC